ACCCCCTCGCTATGAGATGTGGAAGGCAGCCCGGACAAAATCTGATGGACAGATGACTTCTGAGTCTGCACGAATCATTGCTCAGAAAATCGTAAGTTATAATGTCTATTTGAATTGATTCTAATGTGAAAGTTAGTGTATGACTTAATTATTGTTAATGTGTTGTAGGATGATTTAGTTGAGCAGAGCACCCAAGGATCATTTATTCCTCATGGTCGACAAGATATATTGGCGACGGCCATAGGAAAACCAGATTACTCGGGACGTGTGTGTGGTGCCTGGTGGATCCTGGGGCCTTCGTGATTACTTTGGTCCAACATCACGAAGGACCACTACTGACTCTTGCAGCCAGGAGGCCTTGCATAAAATGGAGATGCAGTTTGAAGAAAAGTTAAATCAAATAAGGCAGTCCTTGCAGCAAGAGTTTGATGAAAAAATTGAATCTTTCGCCCGCTCTCAGCAGCAGACTCAAGGAACACCTCAAACAATTGAACATGATGTTGTTCGAGTCAGCACTAAAGGGAGTTGTGCTGCTACTCACTGCTGATCCTTCGAGAGAATATACTCGGATCGATGCATCACACCGAGTGTGAGTTATATGTTGAAAATGACCCCGCGTCTAGTGGCTATTGGTCGAGTTTTTGAGGGTGGCTTAACCATCCATGGTGTCCCTCTACGAGCAGGCTCGGACACGAGTAGTAGTTGATGAAGTTCATGATGTTAATGCTCCAGTGCCTTTTCCTAATGAAGAGATTCAATTAGTGGAGCGAGCAAACGGGACATTCTTGGCTTGGCCAAGACGTTTGGTTATGCCACTATCAGCACAGACATAATATATATATATATATATATATATATATATATATATATATATATATTGTCTATTTTCTCTTTTCTACTATTATAATTATATAAATGTTTAATTCATTGTTATCATTTGTTTAGGAGGCCTTGCGTCGTGGTAAGCATAAAAAACAACCTATTATTGATGAGGATCCGACGTAATGTGATGATGATCCCATCTCTATGTTGTTGACCATATTATCACGGTTGAGGAAGAGACCGTGTCGGATACAATGGGATGTTAGAGTGTTTGGAATTGACAGTTCCATTATTCCATTATACATTTCCTTGCCCGATGCTTTAGAAATTGTTGGGGAAATTGCATGTTAAACATTTCCATCATACAATTGTGGGCAATGTAAGTCATTCTCATTTATGTTTCTAAGATTATAATAATTATATTCAACTTATAATTAATTGTTTTAGGTACATGGACAAATTGAGTGTGGAACAAGAAAAATCCAAAGTATACGGATTTATTGAGCCTCAATCCATCCAAAAATCTGGAAATACAAAGGTTGGAATCCAACAATATATGCAAACATGGATGAGTGACTCAAAAAGACATATATTTGGCTCCATACATTGAAGGGTTAGTATTTTAATTTGTATTTTAGTTTATATTTTTGTAACTAATTTTTATGTCATACAATGTAGGTCTCATTGGCGAGTTAATTGTAATCATACCCTGGGATTACACTCGTGGTGTGGTTTTGTTCATTACATCGGAACCGAGTCAAGAAATGAAAAGCTTATTACAAGGGTAAGTTTATCTTTTATTCATTAATTATGTTTTTAAATTGTAAATACATATTGAATAATATGTGACTTTTTTCACTTAGAATCGTGTTCTGGAACTAATGTTCTAAATGGAAAACCTAGAACAAAGACTTTGCAGTTCATTTATCCTAAGGTTAGAAACTTATTTATATAAGTGAATACCATAATTATTGTTTGTATTTAAATTTTGAAAATAACATTATGTTTTTTTCATCATTTCAGATGTAATAAGCAAACAGACTCGTTTGAATGTGGTTACTATATTATGTATTGGATGAGAGCCATAGTGTGTGCGGGTATAATGGATTCTTGGACGGAGGTAATTGTTTTTAACATTAGTTAAATTTATTTAACTTTATTCATGTTGCATGTTTACAAGAGTCAAATTAATGTTTCAGGTATTTCAAGATCCATCTCCATTACCAGAATATGATATTACACAAATTAGAGAACAATGGGCAAAATTTTTTGTTCAACAATTCTAGTACATAATTTTTTAAGTTCTTGTTCATATTATATTGTGTGTATTATGTAGTTTAGGTAACTTAGTTTGTATTAACTTTTAGTTTGTAATAGATTTTTTAGTTTGTATGTTTGTATTATATTGTTTTATTATGTAGTTTGAATTATATAATATTATATTTTTAATTTACTAGCTAAAGAAAATTGAACCTCCGGATCTGTCTGGTTGTAATGTATATTTGCAGGTTTTAGTTGTAAAACAGAATCAACCCAATTTAAAAAAAAACAGCAAATTTACGTTGCATATTGGTATATTTACGTCGCATATACCAATATGCGACGTAAATTTACATAAATTTGCTGTTTTTTTTTAATTTCCGAAAGTTTTTACGTCTGTTTAGTGGTATATGCAACGCAAAATTACGTCGGGTCTTGATAACTGACGTAAATTTACGTCGGGCTAAAGGGTCCGACGTAAATTTACGTCTCCCGTTTTAACGTCAGTCTTAAATACGACGTAAAAAGTTATAAATACCTGACGTAAAAGCCACTTTTTACACTAGTGATACTAGTTTCCGTTCTCTCATTGCATTGCATGTGGAGGTGGGAGTAAGGAGAAAAAAGCAGCAACGAAAGTTCCTTGTAAGTTCCTTGTCCTACCCAAAGAGTTTGATTTTGCCAAACAAAATTATCTCCTTGCTTGTGAAAAAAGATAAAAAAATTGTAATGAGTAATATATAATATATAATTAATTATTAAAAATGAGATAATTAGTTATGTGATAATTTTTTCAATTATAATCATAATAAATAATTAAAAATATAATATTTAGAGGGATTTATTGAGTTTGCAAATTTTATTATTATCACAAACGTTGATGTGCCATCATATAAACATCAACATACCCCTTTGGCACAAGTTTTTATCTCTTTGTCCATTGCTTCACGTCATTCAACAATTTACTGCCTTTTAATTCTGTCCCACCTGACATAACCTCTATCTATTATACATTTTTATTAACAAAACATAATCAATTTAAAGAAAAATCTTAAAACTACTGATTATCTTGACCTCTTTCTATCCTTAAGTCAATATTAAAAAATGTCACATTCTTTACAAATTATTATCATTTATCCTTATTTGAATTTAATTTTTTATTAAATATATTATTATATTATTTCAATTCTAATTTTGGAAAAGCAATTAATCATAACCTACACTAATAAAGTAAATAATTAAAATATTAATTCAAGCAATTATTTTTTTTAAAAGAAAATATTTTTTAATAATTATAATAAATACAATTTTAACTAAAACTCTAATGTATTAATATTATTGTTATTATTTTAATCAATATTTTTTATTTCAAGAAAAAACTTAAAGATAATCACTTTTAAGTCTAATAATTAATAGTATCGTACATTTTATTAACTCTTTTTTTACAATCAATATAATATTTAAGTATGAAACTTAATTGAAAATGTTATTATAGTTATTAATTTAAAATTTGATTAAATTTAAAGAAAATATTTAAATAATAAATTGTTATAACTTATATATTCTAAATCTTAAAATAAATAAAAAAATTAGTATTCAATTAACTTTTCTTTATTAAATCCTATTCTATTACAAAATATTTGTTTTTATATATTTTTAATAATCATTATTGATATTTAATTTAGAGAATTTAAAACACTAAAATTATTACAACTTTTGTCTTAAAATTTAAATATTAACAAGATATCAAGATGTAAGAAATTCAAGGGGAGGAGAGAAAAAAAGAGCGTAACAAATCTTTCCCTTTTATTTTGGTTTTATTAATTTTCGTGTGTATCCTTCTTCTCCATTTCCAAATTTCTTTTTCATTTTTTCTAAAAAAATGTCTTCTTTTATTTTATACACTAATATTTAGAAATCCGAAAAGGTTGAAGATGGCTTGAAGGACACAGAAAATATTGTTTAAATTGAAAAATAATTTGTATAAATTATAATTATAATTAAAGAAATTAAAATTCGATGAGCAATAGGATAATAAATTTGATGAAATTTATGAAAGTTATAATGTGTAGTATGAGTTTGTCAAATTCGAAAACCTGAATAGAATGGTATGAAAATAGTATTCCCAGAAAAACACTAATATTATTAAAAAAAATCCTACATAAAAAGAAAAATAAAAACGCTAATTTAAGTCAAAAAGAAAAATTCAAATTAAAAAAGTTTTAATTAAACAATAAAAAAATACTTTCACTGGCTGAATTTTTTAAACATCATTTTGGTGTCTAACATCTTTATTTATAGTTTGTGTTTATGTTTTCTTCTATCAGAGTTTCAAATAATAACTTTAATCCTTTTGCTTAATTGTTAAGTTTCGAATTTAAGAATTAAATAAACTCATCTTAAAAATAGTTTTTTTTTTTACAAGAAATTTTAAGCTATTGAATTTTAAGAACAGGTCAGAAATGTCAATCCAATAATTCCATGCGTAAAATACTTACAAGTTCGTGAAGCCCAAAGAACTCTCGTTCCTTCTTCTTCTTCTTCTTCGTTTGGTTCTTTGTATTAATTGGCAAGTTCCGTTGCTTTCTCCGCCTCCTCTCCTCTGGTCAATATCGGCCAAACTTCCGATCATTTTGCGGTACGCTTTTTTGTCAAAACTCTCTCGGCACTTCACGTCCATCCTCTTTTGTATTCATCAAATTGCTCGTTATTTCTGAGATTCGATTTATTTTACAAAATTTAAAAATCATAAACATATTTATTGGAATTGCGGACGAAAATATACAAAAAGTTTTCTTTTATAGATGTGCGTGCGTTTTTGAAATTAACATTTAAGTAATTGTGATTGTTGTTGTAGTTTATAATTCTTGTATTGGATCTGATTGATTCCAATTGAGAAGGTAGAGAAATTGGGAACAATGAGTGAGGTATTTGAAGGGTACGAGCGTCAATACTGTGAGCTATCGTCGAATCTTTCGCGACAATGCACTGCGGTTTCTACTCTTGATGGAGGTAATGAAATCAATGTCTTTATTCACACACACTCTTCAATTCCACACTTCTATTATTGTTGAGGTTATTTTGAGGTCTTTTGTAGAAAAAAACTGTAGGTACGGGGAGAACATCGTAAAATTTAACGATCAGGTTTGATTGACAAGATATTATACAATGGTTTAATTATTCATTTAATCCCTTTACACACAGACAATTTTTACATTTTAGTACCTGTACCTAAAAACTAATTGTTTTAGCTCTAAACATACACTTTTTAATCCGAATTAGTTCCAACCATCTATAATTGTAAGGATTAAAACATATTAAAAGGTTGTATGAACTAAAATGAGTTAGAAAAATGTATTATGCTCAGGGACTAAAACGAGTAGTTCCTATGTGTAGGGACTAAATTGTAATGATAGTATAAGTATAGAGATCAAATGAGTGATTAAACCTTATATAGTTACTTTCCTAATAGGATGATAGTGTTACTTTTCATGATCACTGCATTACTATAAGATTATATTATATGCTTCTCTTTGAAAGTTGATTTCATGCATGCTAGAATTGATGGATGTAATGTTTTTATACGATTTTTAAATTTAACAACACTTAAATGAAGTTCTTTAGACACTTTAGTTCTTTTCTAATTAAAATTGGAGTTTCACACAGGTAACATGCACAATAAAAGTGGACATTTAATGTTGGCGTTGGATAGCAAGGTGGGGCTCCTATTTTGATTAGAGAACAACACTAAAAACATCTGAAAAACTGTTCCGAGTTTTTGCCTTTGAAATTTCCGTTTTGCCAGTTTCAGCAGATGCAATTATAAGCATGTTGTATGAAACTTAAACAAGCATCAAAGGCTTGCTAGGGGGGAATGCATGTTGAAGAGACCTTCTTTCTGATAATTTATTTATGTTGTTGATATAATTTCTGTTGAAGAGGTTTATGCTTATTTGTTAAGGATGCAATTTCTTATCAACTCCCATGCCCATGCCCCCAACAAGTCCTCACACACAGAAAAAAAATGGACAAGGGATTAAGCTATCTCTGTCTAATGTTTGCTGGTTACCATTTGTGCTGCAGAACAAAAGAAGCAGAAACTTTCTGATATAAAAGCTGGATTAGATGATGCTGACACATTGGTATAATGGGACTTTTCTTCTCTTCCTCCTCCTGATGTTTGACTCAATTATATATCCTGCTTGAATATTTTCAGATTCGGAAAATGGACCTTGAGGCTAGGAGTTTGCAGCCAAGTATGAAGGCAACTCTTCTTGCCAAGTTAAGGGAATATAAAACTGATTTGAACAATTTGAAGACCGAAGTTAAAAGAGTTACATCAGCTAATGTCAGTTTTGCTGTCCGCGATGAGTTGTTGGAATCAGGAAGTGCTGATACACTGGCGGTATCTCCTATTTTTCCTTCCTCAGATATTAATAGGTTTCAATGTTATTAATTTTGAAATGTGGCTTAGATTATTAACACTTGTGAGAAGATGAAGATAGTAGCCGGGAGATTTGAGGCTGGATTTGGCTGGTAACTTTCGTTGTTATAAAAGGCTTTTTGGAAGTAAAAGTGGTGAATTACCTTCAAGCCAAAGTTGGTCAAGTATGTGGGCCCTCAAGCCTGTAATACCACATTTATAAAACACTAAATTACTGAAGTCTTGTATGTATTTTCGGGTTGGAGAGAGAGAGAAATATTGCATGATGTATATATAGTTGCGAATCTCAATTTGGATTCTTTGACATCTGCAATTGCACCTGCATCTCAGTACTTCGTTTCTTATGTACTACAGTGCATGGATATATGTGAATACTTAAGCTTCTTTTAACATATTTTGCATTCTAATAGCTACTTACGGATGCTAGGACAGTTATCAAATGATCAAAAGGGGAGACTTCTGATGTCTACTGAGAGACTTAATCAATCCACCGATAGAATAAAGGATAGCAGAAAAACAATGCTGGAGACGGAGGAGCTTGGTGTCTCAATCCTCCAAGACTTGCATCAGCAACGTCAATCCCTACTCCATGCCCATAAGACAGTAAGTTCCACAATTTGGAAGTTTTTAACTCCAGTTAGTAATGTATTGCCCCCCTTTCATCTAGATGATTTAGCATTTGATACTCAATCACAACTGGCAGATGCAATTATAAGCACTTCACTGTTTAAAATGTTTTTCCTATGTAGAGTCCATCTGATCTGAGGCTAGTCAGATTTGATTTTCTCAAAACCTGACTCCTAATAAGTGCAAGGCTAGAATATTAATTTTTTCCCGTTTCAGCTCCATGGGGTGGATGATAACATTAGCAAGAGCAAGAAAATTTTGTCAGCCATGTCAAGAAGGATAAACAGAAACAAATGGATTATTAGCTCCATATTGACAGCCATGGTCCTTGCAATTATAATCATTTTATATTTCAAGCTGACTCGTTAGCCTGCTATCAGAGTATATGTTGCCTAACAATGTGAAGGTGTTTTTTAAGAGTTGTGTGAGCAATGGTTCTCATTAAAATTTGTTATTGCATGACAAAATTCTTTCATGTAAGAAAATGATAATATTACCATCTACCCCCAAAAAGAAAAAGAGAGTATTACCATTTCACATTCCTGTGATGCATCATTTGTAAATTTGATTCTATGATACATTAGTTTGGCGTATACAAAGAAAACACAAATATCGTCACTATGTCAAACAAAAAAAGGATAGCATATTATTGCTGTTAACATATCACGTGTTACAAGATTTACATGACTTTCTGAGTTGCAAACATGTATATTATTTTATTGGATTTGGCTCTTCTACAGGCAGACGTACTTTTGAGTCAAATCCTTTATTTATTATATCTAAATTTCATCGTACCGAATATGTTCATGGCATGCCACACAATTCAAGATAAGAAATGAATAACCCAAATTTTGGAAGAATCAATATTCTCTAATAAATCTTTGGTTAGATTATTATTATTATTTATTTATATAAAGTATTTGACGATTTTTAATTTAGTTTTTTAAACTACTTTCATTTGAAATTTAGTATTTGTATTTTTTTTTTAATTGAGACTTTTTGTCTAACTGTTGGTTAGAAAAAATTAAGAATGTCATAGCAATGATAATGATAGATCTTCTTGAGAGTTAGAAAAAGGTACGACACCTTCAAATTTATCTCAATATATATAAAAGAAATAATTTTCAATAGTATTATATTTTATACTTTTGACCCCTCTAAACACTTTGCCACCCTTAAACTTTGAATGCGAAGAAGAAAATATTAGTTGCAAAACTAGCTGAGAATAGAACCATGACAAATGAAAATATTGACTTGGAATAGTGAGAATACTCAATGTAGACCGACAGAAGTGGTAATACCAATATTCCATATCTTACAATTTTTTTTTGTCAATAAAATTCAACAATTTTACAAAACTATTACTCTCATTTTTATCCTTTATCTTTTAAATTTGAGTCATTTTAATTTTTTCGGTCAACTTAAAGCAAGGTCTTTAGCATTTTTTGTCTTTCAGCGGTTATAGACCATATTTTGTAACAATTTTAAACAAAAAAATCGAATGACATAAATTTAAAAGTAAATGCTAAAACAAAACTAATAAAATATTATTCCATTATGATAGATAAAAGAGTTTTAATGGTATGTCTTCATAATGTAAAACTGTTTTACACAGTCGTCTAATAATGAATCATAGTTTATTTGAATTTTAGGACAATTATTATAAATTTAACAAATTTATCCTAATTAATGATTTGCAATTAGAATTATTATACACTTTCATTGCATATATATTTTTTCCATATACATAGTCCCTCCACTATTAATTGTAAATGTCTCCTATGGAATTGATCTCAATCATATTTTATGGTACAACTTTGACTTTATAAGATGCAAATCGCAATAACATGACGCACATCACTCGCACTACCCAATCCTTCATTTTGCCTCCGCTTCATTTCATATCAAACATTTATTTAAGATAAGAAGAAAACATATATTTTTCTTAAATTTCGAATAAACCAATCTAAAAATTTAAGAAAAAAAAAGGTTATATGAAAATAATGGTGTAAGTTATGGATTATTCTTTCTTGAATCTTTCAGATCCACTAATGCAGAACATTTCTTGTTCCCAAAATTTAAAGAGTATTACTCATTTCAAAACCTATATTCTTTCAATAATATTCTAAGTAGTTCACTCCGGACATTCTAACATAGTTGACAAATTAGTTGCGTCAATCTATATTTTACCTCATAATAAATAAAGTTTGCTGAAATAATATTGTTTTCCTAAAAAGTAGGAGGGTGTAGATAGAAATTAGGAGTTGGCAACAATTGGCCTCTCACAATATGCAAATATGGTTCAAATCTACCTTTTAAAGAGATGTTCACATTAAATATGTCTCCCTCAAACATGATTAACTTCAAAGAATGATACGTGTGAAAGAAAAAAGAAATGTTAGATATAAAAAATTTTAATCGTTTAAAAAAAAAACTCTTATAATAATAATAATAATAATAATAATAATAATAATAATAATAATAATAATAATAATAATAATAATGAAAACATTAATTAAAGTACACCATCATTCAATCATATATTATTATATTATTAAAAATTATTAATTTGATATTTGCGAGGATTTATAATATATTCTACCAACTTTATTCAAATTAATATATAAATTTTGATTTTATATAAAATAAAGTGAAAGAATTATTTTTATTTAATTTATTAATTTATAATGCCTCATAACGTTTAGACATTGAAATTAGTAGATACCAGTTAGTTTTAAAATTGGATTCATTCATAAATGTTTACCTAATAGCAACATGTAAGATAAAAATACATATCGCACACACACGAGTTTTAGGTAAAAATATATTAAAATTCAAATTATAAAATAATTAATTATAGGGAGAAAACTTTGTATAGAGATAAAACCATAATATAAATGATAATTTTATTTAGATTCTTTTAACTTTTAAATTTCAATCGTTTTGGTATATGAATTTTCATATCTGAATCGATTTAATCCATTAGTTGCCAATGATTTCAAATCCGCAACAAAATGTTTTAAACAATCATCGATGTTATTTTCAAGATGACAAATTACTAAAATATAAAAGTTAAAGTTGAATGACTCAAATAAATTTAAAAAAAAAACTTTAAAAATAGGATAAAAGACCAAAAGTCACTGAAATTTTACTGTAACAAAATTGATTTATCATCCTCCGTGAGAACAAAAAAATGTTCAAATAAATTTAGGTTACAAAATGTTTTATATGGTTGTGATATTATGAAAGTAGAATGTTAGACAAATAACTCATTTCTCAGGTCAATTTTTTAAAATGTCATGACATTTCTGCATAAAATAAGGAACAAATAACTGTTTCAATAAAAAGTAAGCATGATACTCTAAGCAGCAGTGAACATGACCAGCAGGTGGGAATACCTTCAGAAATAGCTCAGAAGGATGGATCATTTAATGAGCTTGTATTGAAAAATGATCAGGCAAGAGCTTGTTTCAACTGTAAAAGATGAGGGTGCATATTGGATCAGCACCCCAGATACACGAGAGCACATGCACATGCTTATAATTTGAAGCTTTGGTCAGAACTTACCATTAAAGTAAGGAATCCCTTTGACAGGACAATATTAGTGCAGGAGGGAATTGATTGGCCCTTCATTTTCTCAAGTAAAAGTAGCAATTTAACATGCTCAAGAATCCTCAGGAGAAGAATCTCTTCTACCCTGGTCATCTTCATCCTCTTCTTCGTCTTCATCATATTCAATTGATGCAGGCTGTCCATTGAGATCCACATTGGCACTGTTTAGTTTCCTGACAAACTGACCTCTCACTCGAGGCCGCCTTTCAGCAAGTCGTTTCCGGTTAACATACCTAATTTTCTTATCAAAGCAGCGCTCTTTCCTTTTCTGTCTGAACTTCATCAGTGCTGCTTCTCTCCTGTCAACTTTACTTAATTTTGGTTCTGATGAACTTGAGCTTCCAAATGATGGCCATGAATGGGGTTGAGGAACCTGACCAGGCTGTAAGCATATACTCATTGGGTAGTATGGGAAAGATGTCATCCCCGTTCCATGAGGACCACCTTGGGGAAGATGACTGTATTGTGCAATCATAGCTGTACTAGGATGATTCTGTAGGTCCTGCATATTCTTTTGGTGATACATTTGTGCTGATGAAGGCATCATAACATGATTAACAACTCCTGAAATATAATATGGATAAGCATGTTGGGAAGCCATGCCAGATACTTCATGCTCAGAACAATGAGTTCCATTTCTTGGATGCATCACACCCTGATGGAAATTTTCTTCTTTGTGCTTCTGAGGTGAAACTTCCATTGATGCAGGTGGAGTACAAGACCTTTCAATAGAGAGAGAATCAGGTACACTGCTGCTACTGGGCAAGTCATCTTGCGATTGACTTTCACATGTCTCTCCATTTTCACGTGTTTGAAAGTCGTTAACCCCTTGTTGAGCACATGCTTGATGCATAACTTCCATTCTCACATGTGCAGCACCATTATTGTCTACATTAACAACCCCTTCAAAGTTGCTCTTCAGTATAGATGCTTTAACATACGTGAAAAAGGCTGATGACTCCCCTATCCTTAGTTCACTCTTCTTCGGACCAGATGAAAAATGTGCTACAGAATCAGAGAGAAAACAATCAACTGAAATGGGTAAGTGCTACAAAAAATTTAACCTCAGGAACTCAAGATACCATTCAGATTGAAACCATTTTAAGATATTAAAAAGTATAGAGCTAAAGGCAAGTTAAAAACAAGTGATTTAAGTATAAGTTCTTTCAATCATATGCAGAACAAGTTGGTGTGCTACACTGTATAACTTCATTTTCACTGCAAAAAATCAATAGTTTATGGCCTTTAAAAAAGGTCAAATGAAGAAAAGAAGCACACCTGTTCGGTTATCATTAAATCCATTGACATCAGGCCCATGTTCTGATGCACGAGCATCAAGAGGTTCCTCAACAGCAGCAACATTTGCAATAGTCGACTGAAAAAAAAAAAAGATTATATGCATAAATGACAACATACTACAACTCTTATGATTTGAAGATATTATTAACTATATAATAATGTCTACCCATAGCTTAAACCCCCATTTAATGATGTCAGCTCAAAGCTGGCTGATAAAAGGTAATAGAGATATGCGGCATCTAAACCCATTTACACTTGCAGAGAACTTGCATCCCTTTCCTGCACTACACGAGTACCTTTGGATCTATGTGGAGGAGACACACACTAAATGTCAATGAATAACTACAGAAAAAGATAAAATTGTTAGGTCAAAACTGAATTCTACATTATATTTCTAGCATGTCCCCTGAATGCAAGATGGCAACAGTCCTTCAGGCTTGAGGCATGAATATAAACAATCTACCTACAACTTATTTTCTGAAAAATGAAGATGACAACAGTCCTTCAGGCTTGAGGCATGAATAACAAACAATCCACCTACAACTTATTTTCTCTAAAATGAGGATGTTATTTCGGATATACCCGTGAGAAACTATCGATATTCTAAGAGTAGCTTACCATTCGGCTCTGAATGTAACAAACTTAGCCTTCAGAACAACAGTAGTACAAAAAGTAAAGGGTAATATAGTCCAAAAGGTATGGTCAACCCACAAGGTTAATAAGTTTGAAACATGTCTCTTTAGTATGCCTAGGCCTTTTATAGTATGAACAATATTCCCTGCAGTTGCACATTGTACGAGACTTCCCTGCAACGTTTGGCCCCTTGTAAGACCCCTTCTCTGTTGTCATTGGTAGAGCTAGTGCTCGAGATTCCTCCATCAAGCATAAAAAAATACTGACAGGGGGGAGGGGAATTTTTCTTAATACTGAGAGGGAACGCTATTTCGTAGTAACCCTGCTCTCAATGTAACAGAACAAGTAAAATCTTTCTTCAACAAAAAAGTGTTACTCAGTTTATCCCATATCTCTTTGGCGGAGGAATAAAACAAATAGTTCAAATTATCTCAAGAACCATGGAATGCCACATCCAGGTCATAATTAGTGAATATCAGTTGTCCCAATTCACAAAAGTATAGTTTTCTGACCCTAGTCCTCCACCCTCATAGTGGTCTAATCTCGACATCCTCTTAAGAATCCTTTGATCTATTAGATCTATTGCAAGTAATTTCGACCATCGAACTGGTAGGAACCAACCACATTTGGAAGGTCATTAGGGCACAAAGGGACAATTCACCCCAGACCATGCAAAATACTACCCCATTTGCTAAGAGAGAAAAAAATCACATATCTAGAAGAAACAACATTGAATGGGATGACACCATTGGAATGGACTTAAGGATTCCAACAATCCTATATGTGTAGACATTGACAAATGGGTCTCGCCAGAACAGAGCGCATGGGCTACACATGCCAATGAGTGTGGTGGCACGTGCCAAACATGTAAATAAGTTTCCCACAACGAGTCATCAGGCATCTTGGTCATCAATGTATGGTACACATTTTTTACCCACCACTAGCCTCAACAGTAACGGTCAGTGAACAATGATGGCACGTCCTTGTTCCACTGTTTGAGGCAGCAGAAACAATAATCCCAAGATCAGGAGCTTCAATACCACCTTGAACTTCGCATGGAAATGAATAATACCTTTATTGGTAACAATCATGAACATTTCTTTCTTAGCTCATGTATTTGTAATGGTCAATTTCACTAAAATAAGGAAATAAAGAATAAAATGTGAAAGTGATGAAAGAAATAGGGAGATCCCAAGATATGTTATCCTCATAAACAAGGAGATCCTTACAATAATAAACCACTATTTACAAAAGGTATAATGGCCCAACCAATTATAATCTATATTAATAGAGTTATAATCTTGAGGCAAAACACTGTTCATTTTCTAGCATTATTTATTCCTATTATATAGAAAGATTGTTAACTTGAGCATCCAAGTACCTTCTACATGTACTCACCCCCGTTTCACTAGAGTCCCAACATCACACACCGAGCCAAGAGATAGAGGAGGAAGTCATCAAAAGTCAGGGGAGGTAATTTGTACTTATTTGCATATACAAAATGGAATGGATCAAACTCTACCCCACTTAACACATTATGAACTAACTAACCCAAAGATTAAAGTTAAACTATTAAGACACAAGAATGACTTTATAGTACAACTGTAACAAACTCCACATGTAATAGTGGCTCTATGCATAGTTGTGACTTTTTAAATCATTAATTTTTATGAAAATTATATTTTTCAAAGCATCACTTCATAAACTTCCAAGTTTTGTCTATGATTTCCATGTCCGTGCTACTTAAAATTGGTTTTAGGGACTTAATTTATTTATGACTTGAATCTGATTTATGGCTTGAGTTCCTATGGACATGGTCATTTGCCTTTGCTCCACAATTATCAAATAATTTTACCTATACTTTCTGGAGTTTATAATTCAATCCCTAGAGGCATCAGACTTTATGGTACTTTAACATTGAAAGGCAATATGAAAACTTATAAGCATGTCAATGTCAAAGTTGAATAAAAAATCACCCCTTCATAGATAAATTGAATTTTAAAGTATACTATGATGTACAAATTTATTGATTGGTGATCATGTTGGTTGAATTCTTGCATCATTTAAATACTTTACCACTCACCTCTTGTTCTTCTTGGACTGATAATCCCACCTCTGGATTGGTGCTTCTCTTGGACTTCTCATCTGTGTCATCAGAGAACAAGGTGGTACTGTTTGTATTGGCATCACTAGGGTCTGATGCTACCAGATCAAAGTCATAATTCAAGATGTTCTTCTCCACAAGTCCAAGCTGCCAGCATAGATATAAAACATGATTTCAATTTCAAATTGGGTAGGTCTAAGCATGATTTGGAAAATCCAAAGAAAAGTTCCAATGTGCAAAGAGCAGAATCAAGCTAGGCAAAGGAGAAGGGCTGCCTAAACATGCCAATGAGTGTGGTGGCACGTGCCAACATGTGGATGAGTTTCCAAAGGAGTGGGGCTGCCTAAACATTCTATAGCCCATGTATATTGTATGATTGATTCATCATCCATGTAAATTGTTTCTACACGAAGCCTCCTGATAACTCAAGGTCCCTTAATGCAATGCAAAAATGAAATTACCATCCATAATTGATGTCAGTGTGATGGTACCAGACATAAACTTATTATGCTTTGCCCCTAACTTAATGCACAGATGAGGTAGCCTGATAATTGGTATGCAATGTGGCTCCTACAAAATCTCAAACATATCCTATGATAGTTCCATATAAAATTAGGCAAATGGATTTGTTATGAAAAAAATAATGCAAAATGACAAATATGTATTATATTGTGGCATTCAAACCATGCCTCATGTGAGGTTTAAATCTTGACAACCTAATTTCAAAATATAACGGCTATGACATGATGGTAAAAGTTGATAGAACAAAACAGGGGTGTGTTTTAACTAGGCATCAATTTCATATTTCCGAAAATTTACAGGCAACTGGTACAGGTCAAGAACTAATAAAAGGAAAAATTACAAAATGGGGAACATCCATAAATATGAAGTTGCCCAATACGAACCATGCGCCTCCGTCTCCACATGTGAGTCCACAAATTTAATAGTTCATTAGTGCGTAAAGGCTTTACTAGATAGTCAGCTGCTCCAAGTCTCAAGCACTTAACAACAACGGATACCTCATCTTGTGCGGACATCACTTATCAAAACAAGAAATTCAAAACATTGATGAGCATAATACAATTTGCTTATATTCAAAAGTCTCACTGGTTTCTTAGCAATATAAAGAACCATAGCTTACTTATAACAGGAATTCTGCGGAACTCTTTATCCCGTGCTATGTACTTCAACATCTTCATGCCCTTCTTTGTTGGAAGGTCCAGTTCAGCCAGTATGATATCTATATGTTGCCCCTCTGCATTCAGTGCGTCAATTACCTGTCTCGGCGACTTTACTGAGGTCACTGTGAAGTACAGAGAATCAAGAGGTTTATATATATATATATATAAAATCTCAGGGTGAATTCGTCATTATCCTTGTCATATATACATCTTCAACAAATAAGTCTCAAAGGAGAAATAGCAAAAACGATTATTTCAACTACTCATTGAAATCCATTACTATCACAAAAGAACACCAACCGAGTTTCAAGAGGAACTATAGTCAAACTTGGCTTAGTGAAATTCAAGTTTGACTAGATCATCCTTTCACAGTGCTGCCAACTCACCAACAAAATCCGATTCCACAGTACTCTTTTTCTAGCAACAAATTCAAATTAAATCAATTTTCAAAAGATACAGCCAATAAAAAGAAAAACACTATTTTCTTCAGATTTTGAAAGATGACATAAACATAACCACAACAAGCAAAAGATAACACACAAAAAAACAACTCAGTAGAGAAAGGGAGCAATAAAAAGGGATTAAGTTGAGTTTAGTGTCCGTACATACCCTGATAAGAACACCTCAAAAGAAGCGTGAAAACCTCTTGAGAACTCTTGGAATCGTTATCGCACAACAAAATCCGTACCTTACTTCTATCAATGAACCCATCACTACTCTTCCCATTATTCCCACCACCACTTTCTATATTCAAATTAATCTCCTCACCAGGCTCCATACCCACCTCCAAAAATCAATTTTTAAACAATAAAACCACACACTCACTCACCCACTACCCCTAACATCAAAACGACGACGCTAAAGAACTCTAACAAGACCTCTCATTTCCACAACCCCACTTGCAAAAACCATCGTCAAATCTAAAACTCACTCACTCTCTCAGTCAGCGAATCCTGAGCTCCCTTAATCCAACAAAACCGAGGAGGATCAGAGGGAACCGTTCAGACGGCGCACGTTAGCAAAAGGGGGGACCAAAAAATTTTGAGAATAAGGAAATGATAGTTGGTTATAATCGGGTCAGAGGAGTCGGCGAAGCGAAGCATGGTAACCAGAGCTTTTTTTTTTTTTTTTTTTGGAGAAAAGGGGTGGCTAGATTGGAATTAAGAAAAGGAAGGGGCGCAGTGTGCACAGGGCGTGGCGTAGGGAAGAGGGAAACGTGGAAAGGGCAGAGGAAAAGCGCAAGAGAATTGAAAAGAGTGAGAGGGTGGGTTGTGTGGATAGTTAGGTAGAGTTAGAGAGAAGGCCACGTCACCTCCAGATCTTTCTCACTCACACAAAATGAACAATGACCAATAATGTCCGTCCAAAAAATATCCCATCACACTTGTGGATAAAATCTATTCCACAATAAATTTATAATAATAATAACTTACATTTAGTATAATATAGTTAATGTTGTTATTAGATTAAATTACAGTTTTTTTATGATAATTTGTATTTACTTGGAGCATTGTAATAACCTTAGATATAATATAATTTAATTACAACATCTATTGTACCTATGTTATTATATCTACGATGTTTATTTAGTCTTGCTAATTATTTTGTTATTTTTAAATTAAAAGTATTGATATATTGATTTTGATAATGTAGCATATAAATATTTATTAAGATGGCAATTAATATACTAATATAGCTTTAAGGTATCATCATAGTCAAATTAGTATATTTATTAAATTTTAATTTAAAAGTAAAAAAATTAAGACATATCAATAAAAAAGATTTAGGAGTTTTTTTATTTAGTTTTATTTTTTTCATTTTTAAAAATGATTTTATTTAAATATTTTAAAAAAACCATTTAGAGAAAAAGTTAGAAAAAAAATCCTATTTGATAATCATAGTTTAATAACTATTTTAGATATAAAAAAACTTGTGTTGATAAAATTGTTGTAAAAAAATTTTAAATTTTAAATTTAAAAAATGAAAATTGTGTTTGTATATAATTTTTTTAACATAAATTGAATTTTAAGTCTTCACTTAATATGATTTTTTTTTCTTTATAAAGAGCTATAAATAAAATAAAAAAAACCGTAATATTAAAAATTAAAAATAAGTTAAGTCCAGACTTGATTCAATATTTTCGGTATTATTTATCACTTATAAGGAACGAACATTAAAATAGATAACATAATTTATTATTTAAAAATTGTATGAAATATAAATAAAAATAAAAATAAAAAAGTCAACTATTTAGAATAAAAATGTTACTGGCACGGGAAGTGGTTCAAATATAATTCCAAATTAAAAGTTTATAAAATAGTTTACAATAACAACAAAAATTGAACAAACCAGAGGGTGAATTAATAGATGATGCATCTTTAATGGGACTTTGTAAATATTAAATTCAAAATGATATTTCATTTTAAATGTAAAGAATTTTAATTTTAAAATATTTATAACCTTGCTATTAATGAAAACTAAAATGATTCTCTTTTTACTAACATAACATATATAGGAAAGGCAATCAAGCGACCAAATATGCAATCTCATAATGATTCATTTATGAAAACAAATATAAATATAAAAGAACAAGTTTTGCATATATACGGATAAGACTTTCATTTATGAAAACAAATATAAAAGAACAAGTTTTGCAAATATACGAATAAGACTCTTATATGAAAATATGGTGTTGCATGAAATTCTAAGTTGTCTTGTTATTAAAACTTCCCTTTTTAGAGTTCTCTTGTTATTTCAAACAAGTGATTTTACTTCCAATTAGTAAAGGATTTGATGCTAGGCGAATGAAAAGGCTAATTTTATACATGTGATATTAGTGATGGCTAAGTAAGTGATGAACTGCACAAAAGACATCAATCTTCCCTGGTGATGAGAATGGTGAAATTATATTCTCAAGGTTTAAAAAGAGAATAATTGAAATAAGATTTTAAATTCAATTTTGGTATATGGATTTTGCATCATCTAAAGGATTCAAAGTAGCTATTACATGGAAAACATATTAATCTTAAGCTCAATAAGAAAAGGGTTAGGACACGAAGAAATCAATGAGTTATTCTAAATCCAATTTCAATACTCAAATGTTAAATTTAGGAAATTTGTACAGTTTTTATTTCCATTATCTAATCAAAATATGTAAAAACAATGTTTAATTTTCTAATCTTCCTTTTACCTTATTCATTATTAAAACTAAATTATAATTATAAAATATATGTAATAGAATTATAATCATTCTTATTATAATTAGTTAGATTTAATTCATTCCATTCAATTAATCTAAAGATGTAATTGATCAAATTCAATTAAATCAGCTCAATTAAAATTGATTATATTGAAGTATGAACATTTAAATAATTTAAATAACAAATCCCAATTAATGATACAAAGTAATAAAAAAAGTAAAAATCATAAACTGCATGAAAGAGTAAAGAAAAAGACAAATATACTACAGGTGAACTTGAATTGAAAAACATTGAATTTGAAAATGTTTATAAATGTAAAGAAAATTAAAAAGTCTAAATTAGAACTAGAGAGAAAAGCTCTTAAATAGAAGTTGTAAATATGAAACATTAATTATAACTTATTACTTAAGTTGATCTAAGTCATTTTTACACAACAAAGAAAGTAAATAATTATAAAGGTCAATACATAGAAATTAGAATTTGATTTAGCAATTTTACAGAATTGTAGTGTCACTTGTTTCATTGAGAAAAAAGTTAGTTAAGTTAGTTAATCCTAACTCAATAGTTTTCCTCGAGAGTTGTTGTGTTCATGGAGCAAAATACTCCTTTTAGTAAATAACTTTATGTCTCAAATTCTTTAATCGTTGTGTAGCAACCAACTTTAAATCAAAGTTGTAATGTTCTTCATTTATCATTTCAACATTAATGTAGAAATACTTAGTAAAATGTATAATTTGAACTAAAATCCAATTAAAGATATACGTAATTAACTCTATTTTTTCTAAAAATATGGATAAAATGTATTCATAAAAAAAATTCCATTCATAAACTTTTGTATTTCAAACCAAGACTAGAAATAAGAAAAGAACAAATTATACTTTATCAATAAATTAAATTGACAACGATCGATTATAAAAATTAGACAATCATAATATTAAAACATAAGTATTATACCAATAATTTCAATAGATAACAATTGATCAAGTGTTAATTATATTATAATTAATATTAGAAATATTACTTAAAATAAATATAGTTAATCTCTCAAATTTAAGTAACTTTTTATATCAAATCACATCTCGAAAATAAAATTAATCATAAACAAAACTCCTATGGTAACATATGCAAATTAATGATTAAATTAATTTTAAATTAGATTTTAATGAGGTACAGGTAAAGTTATAATATAAACAAATGAATTCAAAGTTTAAAGCAACTAAGAATCAAAGAGGAGAAATAAAGAATAGTCTTCTAATACTTTTTTCATATATACATTTTTTTTTCATCTTTCTTTCTTTATTTTCTTTCATAATTTTGCTATAAATATTCCCTAAACAAAATAACAATTTTATATATCTCTTATCCAACAAATCAAACTTATAAGATGGCTTGACAAATTTGTTTAGCATTTAGCAAAAATATCACAAAATAACATTACAAATGTCCTTTTAATTTCATTACCTTACCATCATTCTAAATTCTAAAACTTCTCAATTCATCAAAGTTTGAGTAAATATGATTTTTTACTTATATGTCTTGTAATGTGGTTTTGAGGACAAGAAATATAATTAAGTTTTTATGATAAGAAACATAATTAAGTTTTGAAGTATCTAAAACATGTATACTTATTTTAAAAGAATAGTTTTAAACTATTACAAAAATATGGTGAAAATATTTATAGGCTTTTGAAGTTTTGAACACTATAAAATGATACCTTAGTTAACTTATTTATTTGTGATCAAGCGATTTTGTAAATTAATGGATAGTTCATTGCAAAACAAATTCTAAAAGCTCTATTTAAATCATATCATATTAGAACTAACCTATATTTTCAGTCTCACTTCAAATACGACAATACGAAGTCTCCCTTAATTATAAATGTTGAGCAATAGGTGTTAACTTGTAGTTTTAAATATTCTAATTCAGTTCAAGAAATTATTTTATTTTATAGGAACATTAAGATCTATAATTCTCACAAATATATTATTAGAAGTGTTCAAGAACTTACTTAAATCCATTGCATAAAATCTCTTGATACATATTTGTCTTTCTCTTACTTCCATGACTTTCTTGATGATATAAAATGTATCTAGTAGAACTCCTTCTTCTATCAAAACCACTTACCTTTTATTGTTTACGAACATAACTTTTAATCTTTCATAAAATAAACTAAAATGTATCTTCTAGACAGTATTTTAAAAGATTTATTAAAATACCATGATACATTTAATGAAGAGAGAAGAGAGAAAATTGGTTTTAAAAACTCTAAAATAATTCTCATAACTTTAAACTTTGATGCATTTACAATCTCATAATTATCACATTAGAAACCATTACATTAAAATTATTTTATAAATTACATGACCTAATTTAAGAATAGGCACAATCTTTGAGTTCAAACATGGGAAAACATGTGTACCACAGGTATGCAGTAGGTGTATGACTATAGGTATTGTAGACATATGACTTTCACCGCACTATGAAAGCATGACTACATGGGTGCAGATACAACATACAATAAGGATACTATCCAGAGACGGATCACACAACATGCACCACAAAACATGCGGTAAAGGCG